TTAAGTGCCTCACACAGAGGTTCAGGTGACCCCCCTGTCTTCCCACACCGTGAAGACACAGTGAGAGGACATCACTGTGAGAAGCAGACACTCAAGCCAAGTGTGCCTTCCTTTTAAGACTTCATCTTAGGCATGTAGCCTCCAGAACCATAATAAATAAAACGTTGCATTTCTGAACCACCTAGAAGGGCTAACATCATCTCGTCACCCAATGCCAAGTAAGGAGAGGGAGACCAACACATTCCAGAAGTGTAGGGGGAACGCCTTATCTGTAACAGCAACTGAGCCATCTGCAGCCTCAGAAGCCAGCCAATACATACGTGTGTGCATATGGAATTCAAAAGCAGTGATCACAACATTGTACTAGATCGTGGAACTTCTAGACTTGGTGAAAGGGGATTAAGGAAAATCCAGTCAGCCTTATAATGAAGGAAAGAATAACAGCAAACAACACAACAATAACAACAACAACAAATGGAAGCAATGAGAAAACATGGTATAGTTAAATTAAGCAAAACACAAACAAAAAAATACACCAACAGAAGGCTTATGCTGCTTATGATCTACAGAACCAGAGGGCAGAGATGACAGCAATTCTGGGATGGGAAACTCATGCTGGAAGGGAGAGACCTCAGGGGTGGGGCCCAGACTCTGTATATAAATTCTACCTACATTCTGGATTGACCCCCTACATGGCACAGACTGGCGAGAGCTGATAAACTGAAGCAGGAGTTGTGCTGCTGCCCAAGATAAACATTTTCTAGTTTATGCCCAACAAAATTAGGTTCCAGGTAAAATGGTCTTCAGAGGAATAGATTCCAGACTCTCTACAATACCATATTTATAACATTCAGAGCACAGTCTGAAATTACTTGATGTAGGAATAACTAGGAAAATGTAACTTGAGACAATCAATGCAGACAAAAATGTTAATGCTACCAGACAGGAATTTTAAAGCAACTATTATCAGCATTCTCAAAGATTTAAAAGAAAACATGGTCTTGATAAATGAAAATGATAGGAGATCTCAGCAGAGATATTAAAACTATAAAAAGGCATCAAGTAGAAATATAGTCTGGGACACAGTCTCCAAATCAGTAGACAAAGAAGTATATTTGTAAAGAAATTCTGGGAGATAAAAATTTACCTCATAATCACAAATAACTTATTTATGATTATTTGTAGAATAAAAGATGACATCACTAAATACTCAGGAGGCTGAGATTTTTTCCTGCCAGCCCAGCCATTAAACCACCAAAAAGCCAAAAGTGAGCTGGGCATGTGTGGCTCAGGCCTGTAATACTAGCTACTCAGGAGAGTAAGCTCTGAGGATCGCAGTTCTAAGTCACCCTGGGCAGAAAAGCCAGTAGGACTCTTATCTCCAATTAACCAGCAAAATGCCGGACCAGAGGTATGGCTAAAGAAAGAGTACCGTGAGCAAGAAAGCCAAGTTTGAGTGCCAGGCCCTGACTCCAAGCCCCAGCAACATCGGTGTGGCAGTCCTGAATGGGGACGACATCAGATATGCACAAGGCATGGATGGGGTAGTGGCCTGGTTCATTTCTCTCTCAAAAAAGAAGGAAGTCCTGAGGCAAGATATTCACATGCAGAAGTTTTGAGAATTCAGGAGTCCAGTTTTTGCTTTGTGTTCTGTTTTACTTGATGTTCCATACTTAACTGCCAGGTCCCTGTGGGCAGAGACCCCCTCTGCATCCAAGATGAAAAACAATTCCCAGCTCTCAGCAACCTCACAACCGCAATTGCATTGGCGGACACTTTTTGTTTTTTCCTAGAAATAACTGAATTAAACTGAGGTCGCCAGGGCAGGCCCTAATCCTGGAAGACCAGTGTCCTCATGAGAAGAGGAGACATGGACATGGAGACAGACAAGACACACAGATGACCAGTGAAAGACACAGGGGTGTGGTGGTCATCTGCCGGCCAAAGGACAAGGCCTGCCACAAGGCTTCCCTCAGAGTATCATAAGGGACAACTCTGAATTGCTTGGTCTCTGGCTTCCAGCCTCCAGAACTGCAAGTAAAAAGTGCTTTTCCTGTGGTGGAAGCCCCCCATTGCACCCTAGCTTGGGGCATTTCGTCACAGAAGCCCTAATAGACTAAGCTGGAATCTCACAGATGCTAAAAGCCACACAATCTAACGTGATTGTCCCTTCTCTTGGTTGTGGAATTATACTTAAAATACTACTTTGGGAGTTCATATAAAAATATTATGGGGGGGGTGGGAAGGAAGATGGGAAGGGATGGGAAGGGGAAACAGAGGAGGAGGCTACAATGCTTGATAAGAAATGTACTCATTATCTTGCCCATGTAATTGTAACCCCTCTGTACAGTATTTTCACAATAAAAAATTATGAAAATATATGCAAGAGCTAGGCCCTAGTGGCTTTGACCATGACCATCCTTAATCCTGTCTAGACACAAGACGTTAGACAACATGGCGGCTCATCTAGGTTTAACTCTCAGGTAAGTTCTGTACTTCCTGGGGGAAGACTTGTCAGATTCTTTGCCACCTGCACGAGCCAGTGAGGCCTCCAGGCTGGGGCTGGGGCTGGGGTGGGGGCCAGGGCCAGTATTAGTGTAATATACAATCAACAGCAGGGCACAGTGAAATCAATTCTGGCCACCGAGTCCAGCCAGAAAGGCTACGTTCCCACGGGAAACCCTGGATGCATCTGATTAATCTGCCTAGGGAACTTCGAAATGTACTTTGCCGTGTCCCAGTCAATTAATTCTCCTGGTTTCTGAACTCCCAACATTTCCAAGCTAATCCAAACTAGATACAGCCTACTTGACTAATTAGCTAAGCTACTTGAAAGAACTTTCTCAACAGAGCAACGTTCCCTGAGTATTTAATGCAAAACAGAAAACGGCAACAGAAAATATTCATCCTCTCTCGGTGTCTGTGTCCCTGCCCAGCCGGCAGCCTGGTTTGTACAATACCTTAATTATCCAAAGCAATCTGATGTCAGATTTGGGGGAGGGTAAAAAAAGGAGAGCTTATATTTTGCAATTTCAGCATTTTCCAGAATTGTCTTACTTGGCTGCTCTTAGCTCAGTTTCTATTAAATCTAACCCTTCCTCAGTTCATCCTGTTCCCTTCATTAGAAACCAGACTATCAAAAAGTGCCTCAAGCTAAGTATTGGTACTTCCCACCTATAATCCTACCCACTCTAAAGGCTGAGATCTGAGGGTTTCAGTTCAAAGCCAGTGTGGGCAAAAACATTCTTGAAACCCTTATCTCCAATTAACCAGTAAAAAGCTGGAAGTAGAGCTGTAGCTTAAATGGCAGAGTACCAGCCTTGAGTGAAAAAAGCCAAGAGCTCAATGCTGGACACTGGTGGCTCACATCTATAACCCTAGCTACTTAGAAGACTGAGATCTCAGAATCACAGTTCTAACCCAGTCTGGGCAGGAAGATCTGTGAGACTCTTACTTCCAATTAGTCACTAAAAAGAAGAGCTGGAAGTGGAGCTGTGGCTCAAGTGACAGAATACCAACCCTGAACAAAAAAGCTAAAGGGCAGTGCCTAGGCCTTGAGTTCAAGCCCCAGTTCTGCCATAAAAAAGCATCAAACCAGCCTTCAATACAAAAAAATGCACACACAAGCACATTTGTCATTTTGTCAGCGATTCTGGCTATCCCTCCCTAAAGGGGAAGGGAGCAGGTCATCAGACAAACATCCGATTATCTGCTCCTGTTGTCACAGGCACACTGGGCTTCTGATAGCCACAGAATAAAAGGTGTTTCTCCTAGCTTTTACTGTGTGGCCCTCCTGGAAAGGTCTTACCTGAGAAATCCCACTTCCAATGGCCCACAGGTGCCATTACTCAGACTCCATATTCAACACTGGCATAAGGTTAGCAGTGTCTGGGGAGGTATTCCATCACCAGGTGCCTGAACTGCACCCCAGTCCAATTAAAGCCGCTGGGGTAGGCAGGATCCAGGTCTGAGCAGTTGTTAAAGCTCACAGGCTGAGGTCCACAAGCAGCCAAGACTGAGAAGGCAGCCCTTAAGAAATCCCAGGCAGTACTGAGAGCAGTGCAGAAACTTAGAGTGGCTAATATATGCCAAAGATGTAAGGGGAGCAAAAACCCACTGAAAATGCCAGGCATAGGTGGCTCACTCCTGTAATCCTAGCTACTCAAGAGGCTGAGATGTGATGATCAAGTTCCAAGCCCACCCAGGCAGAAAAGTCTGTGAGACTCTTGTCTCCAATTAACCAGCATAAGTGGTCCTCTGAGCTCTGCTGCCAACCTGAGGGTTTTTACAGGCTCAACTTGTGATTGTAAAATCAAAGCCTTGCATGAATGAAATCCCGGGTTTCTCAGAGAGGGGAAAGGAGGGGTACAAAAGAAATACACATAGAAAAGGAAATGGCAGCCAGTAGCTCATGCCTGGAATCCTAGCTTCTTGTTCAAGAGGCTGAGATTTGAGAATCCCCATTTAAAGCTAGCTCAGCAAGAAAGTCTAGCCTGTGAAACTCTTATCTCCAATTAACCACACACACACAAATAAAAGCTGGAAGCAGACCTGTGGCTCAAGTGGCTCAGAAGTACTAGTCTACAGCAAAGAAAGCTCAGGGACAATGGCCAGGCTTAGAATTCAAGCACCAGGACTGGTGCACGCACATGCACACACAAGCACATGCACACACACAGAAGAAGAACTGACTTCAGGGATACTAAATGCCTCCAAAATACAATCATGTACTAAACAACTATGTTTTAGGGACAATAAGCTGCCAATGGCAGCTTCGCAAAATTCTCCCACCCAGTCACATACGTCTTCATGGTTTCACATTTTGAGTAACAGTGGCGTTAACACAACAACGGAGTCACCCAAGAAAGCGTGTCTCAGAACACATCGCCACCTCTGAACAACACAGGGAGAGGTGAGGAGGTTCAGTTCTCACATCTGGGGCCATGACAAGGTGCAGGCTGAGCACATCCCGGCCAACTCATGCTGCTGCCCCGACTCACCTGTCAGGACCCCACAGCGCTCCTCGGGTTCCTGGGCCTCGGCAGATGGCCTGGAGCTCGAGGACCATTTGCGCCTGATCAGATGTTCTCGTCCGCTGAACGGGCCCCCGGAATTGTTGAGGGGCTGGATGAGCACCTGCTCCTGCCCCAACTGGATGAGGCCCACCTGCCAGGAAAGCAGAGGAAAGCAGGACATGGGTCACCTACATTTACCCAGCAGCCCAACAGCAGCACGGTGGGTCATCCACATCTTCCTGAACCGTTCAGATTTATCTACCCACCAACATCCCACTGAGCAGTTATGTTGAGAGGTTTTGGGGGCAGAGGCCCAGCAGAGAGGTAGGTGTTCAGAACTCTCATCCATAGACCCCATTTTCCACGCCCGCTTTCATAAAAGATACCATTTCTTTAAAACTTCATTTTAAAAAATTACTTTAAGATCTATCCTCCTAAAAGTCCATTTGAGTCAGGTATGGTAGCATACGCCCACAATCCCAGCACTCAGGAGACACATGCAGGAGGATCTCAAGTTCCAGGCCAGCCTACACTACAGAGCAAGTTGAAGACTACCTTGGATACATATATTAAGTTTGAGGCCAGATTGTGATAGTGAGACTCTGACTTTTGAAAATGGTAAGGTATACTCTCGCTCATGCCTTAATCTTCCCTAATCTGGGAGGTGAAGACTGGGAGAATCGTGGTTTGAGGCCAGCCCAGGCAAAAAGCTATGGAGACCCCACTTTAACTCATCTGACATCCCAGATACATGGGAAGCAGATATAGGAGGATCAGACTCCAGGCTGCCCCACACATAAACACTCTACTGGAAAATTAACTAAAGAAAGAAAAGGGGGACAGAGGGTAAAAAGTGGCTCAAGTGGAAAAGCAACTCTGAATTCAAACTTCATTATCAAAATGTGGGGGAATGAAAATACTCTTAGTAGGAAAACATATCTAAGGGCACTTAGAATTAAATACCAGGATAATGAAGTCAGATTCACAGTACTCATCACTTCATGGTGGACATTTTTCATTTTTCTTCCCATACTTCAGTATTTAAGAGAAGTTGGCAGAGTTATCTAATGGATTAGATTTGTGTTTCTAACTCAAGTGTATCACTGGTTTAGATTTGTGATCTTAACATCGCGGTCAATTTATAAGCAGAATTACAATGTATAAGAAAGCCAGGCATCAGTGGCTCATGCCTGTAATTCTAGCTAGTCAGGAGGCTGAGATCTGAGGATTGAGGTTCAAGCCAGCCCAGGCAGACAAGTCCATGAGACACTTATCTCCAACTAATCACCAAAAAGTTGGAAATGGATCTGTGGCTCCAGTGGTAGAGTGCTAGCCTTGAAAAAAAAAAATCAGGGGCAACACCAAGGTTCTGAGTTCGAGTCCCAGGACCGGCACCAAAAAAAAAATATGAGAACCTAGGCCTTCTCCTGTTTACAAGACAAAATTACTAGATTTATAATTCCTTAAGTACTTGTAAAATATTATCTGTTATCTTTTTCAAGTCTAAGAACTGGAATGTGGGAAACTTCTAAAGACACTTGAAATGTTTGAAAATTGTGAAATCACCCAGTGTGTAAATAGGGACAAATATCATTCAAACTCCCTTAAAAGTGATCAGAAAACTTGCTATGTTAGAAGAATATTAAGTGGAAAACTTAAAAACTAGGGATTTTTGTCACTTTAATAGGACTAATATTAATTCTAGAAAAATAATATGGTGCAAAGGACTTTCTCCTCCCTTGGAAGCAATTCTAGCAGCATTAAAACAACATGGCCTCCCTGCCCAGGCCTCTTACTACCAGCCTTCCTTTTTCTGCCCAGTCAACAAAGAAGAAAAACCGCCGCTGAGGACCTAACTTGACCAGCACACCCCATCTGTCCACTGGTCTGTACAGACCCACCCCTGCTCTTCTGGCAGACACTTCTCTACTGCCTTGACCAGATCATGGTGTGACTTCCTAGAGGGCAGTGCTGCCCTGTCTCCTCTCTCTCTCTTCTACCGTTGCTTTTCAAATCAACCTTGGAGTACCACACCGTTGATTCTCAAACCATAGCATGCAACAAAATCCACTGGAGATTTATAGTGGGTTTCAATAATGTGTATTTCTAACAAGTCCAAAACAGCAAGAGATACCACTGGCCAGGGGAACTCCAGTTTGAGAAGCACCGTTCTCTGGACAGCAGTGCACTTCCTCCAGTCTCAAAGGAATGCACAGATCTCACTCAAGGCCAATGAGATCAATCAACTCCCAACTGGATATAGTTGGACAGGGAGAAGCAAGAACCAATATCCAGACCACGAGCCATAGAAGGCTCTCGAAATCACTGGGTACATGACAAGGCAGACATGCATTCTTACTATCTGCTGCCTACCCTTACTGATAACAATGCATAGCCCTTGAATGATGTTTTAAATATCCAATGGCCCTTGGCAGAAAAATAAAAAAGGATCTCTATGCTAAAGGATGTGCAGGTATCAAGCTGCCCTAGAAAAGAAAATATGCCATCCACCCCTAAGATAAACCTTTAGTCTTCCGGATACAGGTTAAGACCACACTTAGAGCTCCAAGCACATTTCCAGGTTTGCAATTCATCAGAACTTTTGCCAAGAACAACTCACAGATTTTACTACCCAAATAAAACTGTCGCAAAGTGGCACTTCATGACCTGCAGTACAGCCCAGCCTCCTTCCCTGTCCTTTGCAGTAAAAATAAATTTAAAAAAAATTGAGTTTGCCCCCCGAGCTGTTTTGGAAGGGTTTAAGAAGCAGAGGCACAAGGAGGGATGGGGTGGGATGGGGTGCAGAAAGGTGCCAAAACACAGAACACTAACAATCAGCACCACACCCCCATGAGCCAGGTGCTGGTAGCATATGCCTGGCTGAGATGTGCAGACCACAGTTCCAAGCCAATCTGAGAAAGAAAGAAAGAGAGAAAGAGAGCGAGAGAGAAAGAGAGAGAGAGAGAGAGAGGGAGGGAGGGAGGGAGGGAGGGAGGGAGGGAAAGTTGTGAGGTGAGGTGCAGCTTGCAGAGAAGATTGGGAGTTAAGTGACTTGCTCCAGGTCACAGTTCCACATTCATTCCCTAAGGAACAAGGCCGTGCCTCTGTGTGCCTGGGAAGAGGCAAACCCAGGCCAGCTTGGTTCACTAGTGACTGTGGTCAGACCCCCATGGGCTGTGCAGATGTAGCTGCCACTGCAGCTGGGGCTTGTCAGCAGGCAGGAGATGCATTCCAAGATTGCAGCAAGTCTAAGATGTCTTCTATCCTTTTCAGTCCATCTTGGGTTGAAATTTTTTTTGTCAGATGATGCAACTAAGTGGAAGTTCAGAGTGCAGATGTTGAATTGTGTGCCCATTGGTAAGTGTGGGGGGGTGACGCAGACAGGGCCTGGAACCCTATGTGTCACCCAGCCCTAGAGAACTACAGGTGGATGAAGCATCTGAGCAATGCAATTCAGGAGAGGCAAAACTGAAGGGTAATGGAGGTCAAAGGCAGTGGGGGTAGGAGAGGCAGAAGGTATAGAATTTCCTTGTCAGAGTTCTCTTTAATGATCCCCTTCTCAAACTTGAAAAGGATCCTTTTCATGTTCCAACCCTTTAACATCTACTCCATTGTGTCCTTCTCAAAGGTCTAAAGATGTGATTTGTATTTTCCCATTTGTTTATGCAGGTCGTGATCACTCTTGAGTGCTGTGAACTGGCCACTCGCTCACTTCCCTGGTCCTGTGCCCATAGAAGGATGAATGTACTTTGGTCTCCCTGCCCCCTCTGTCATCTCCACGTCACACCCCTGCTCAACTGTACTTGATGAAATGATATTGCATCATAAAGCTGAGTGATCTTGTCATAGACCCTAGAGAGTTTGATAATACTCTTCCCTAAAGCTTCAGGTGACATCACCAGAGGTAGTGGCTGGCAGGATGTCCTCCTGAAAGCAAGGTCCCTAACGCCCTGGCTGGTGGCCTTTGGCACTCATCAACCCCAACCTGAAGCAAAAATCTCTTGTGGGCTGGATGAGCTCTATAGAACAATGAGTATAAGTAATACCAACGATCTGCCCCCAAAATGGCTCTGTGCTCCCCAGATGGGCTGACTGGCCCATCAAAGCCAACTGAGTGTTCAAAGTGGCCCATAGAGATTCCCTAAGAGTCCTGGGCATGTGGCTGTGACCCCAGAGGTGGTGGGCTTAGGGAAACCTTGCTTTTTTTTTTCTTGATCCTTCTAGAAAATGGACTTAGCTTCTTAAGGCTTCACAGCCAAGAACACCTTAATGTTCCCATCTGGTCTCATATTTTACATTCCCTGAGCCCTTGAGGCCACCACCTCAGCCAAGAAGAGGTCAGAGGATTCTAGAACTCAAGAGAGGAAGAATAGCCACTGTTCAGAGGATCAAACCCCTGATAGTGAGACCTTCAGCCCTCCCCTCTTCTAACTCGCTCCATTCATTTCAGACAAGCCAGACAGGACCTAGGCAAAGGCTGACACTGCGTCCCACATGAGGACATCTCTACCCCTGGTGAATTTGAACTTGGCATTCCCATGCTATGCACACATGGATTCATTGAGGAGCAGCCATGCCTTCCTCACAAGCCTAAAGTCCATTGCTTTTACATGACATGGTTATAGGAACTCTTCCAAAAATCGACAGTGAAGACTCCCTGAAATGTAAATAAAATGAAGACGCATAAACAGAAAACAATTAATCCTTGAGCCTGGGGCCTTTGAAGATCCAAATAAGTGCAGCTGGCACAGCTCTAAGAGAAGACAGAGAGAAACGCCGCAGGCCCTTGCCTCTGCCCACCGTCGAAAGGCAGGACAGGCAGATGGAACATGTGTTTTTGTCTTTCTGCACCATAAACAATTAAGCAATAATCTATAGGCTAATAATGCATCTCCATTAAATAGACAGCCAACATATCTGGGCATGGATAGCCTGAATTCCATGTAACAAGGAACACAGCCTGTCCCCCTTCAACCCCCCCTCCTCCCTCCCCCTCCCCCGCCTCCTGCCCTTGTGCTGAGCTTTGCCATTTAGAGGCCTTAGATAGGGCAGAACTTTCTAGTCTGTCCAGTGATACTCAAGCTCTGGATTAGTTTGGTTGGGCACAGAAACATGGCTGATATACCACCAAGGCTGCTTCTTTCCCACCAAAAGGGCATCCGAACATGGGGAGATTATATAGCCCCCTCCTCCAAACTACTACTCTCTGGTCCTTTCCAAAAGAAGACTGCCAACTCCTACTTGATCCCATTCTTCACATACAGGAAATCTCCCATCCACAGCTGACAAAATCTGTCCATTCACCTCAGCTCCCTTCCACACCTTGAGCTGAGCCTATCCTGACTAAGACACCCCCAAGTCCACACGGCCAACGCTGCCTACCCCCTTTGGCAGACAACTCAAACTAACAATTGAGCGTGGCACAAACTAAGTTAGCCTAAGGTCAGCTCCTTGCTTTTCTTTGCTCTCCAGGGCCAAGAGGTCCACTCCAAGATACCCAATGGTCTCTTCCCTCCAGCCTTCAGCCCTTGGTCCGCCTTGTCCTGGGGAGAAGAGTCCAACATCCAACTCACACGCACAGGATGAAGGCAGCAGACTAAACAACAGCCGAGTCAGCTCAAGCTGGAATTTAACATCTCAAGTCTTTCTAAGAGGTCCACCCGCAACTGGTACATGCTGAACTCAGCCTCTTGGCTGCGTTCCTTTCTCTAAGGCACAGTGCCCCCACATGGTGCCATAGAGTAGCACAGGGAAAAAAATGCTGGCTAGGCTGCCATCTGCCAGGAGGCTCAGCCCTCAACTCCCTGAGAACTTTCAAGTCAATGTTATCCAGATTTCCAACCTCGGCTCCTTCACAGATAGCTCCTCGCTGGAAACTTTACACCAAGAAGTATAAACTCTGACCTCTACAGAAACTCACGAAACCGCAGCAAATGGGATTCAGATGTTTCCATGTACAGTACAGTGCTGTGACCCAGACTCGAAACTCTTTGGCAAGAATAGAAAAAAAAAAAAAAAGATGCGGGTCTTCCAGCCTTGACCCAGGCCCTACAGTGATCGGACTTTCTCACTCCCTGTTAATCCTCCCCATCCACAGCCCACCCGCCCTGCTCCTGTGCCACAACCCTATAGTAATGACTCCCAGGCCCCCCTCCGGGCTTTACACCACATTCCTTGTTTCACCAAAACTGCCAGCATCACCCAGGAAAGCAAAAGCAAGATTGCACCCTAAAACTCGAACTGAGAAAATTCGTGAAAAGAGATTGAGGCTGAGCCCAGGAAATGACAGCCAAGTACTTAGCCCACCTCTAGTGCAGAAAAGAAAGAAGTGGTCTCACAGAAAACCTTAGAACAACGCCACCCTCCCCCACCCATGCCTTCCAGGCTTTCTGGTTTTGCTGCCAGATGTGAAATGGGGCCAGAAAACTCTAGATGATGGTACAAGACAGAGGGCAGAGGGGATGTTTCTTATGCCTGGGAAGGAAAGACACGCTATCAGAAACTGCCTGCCCAGATGTTGATTGTTAAAAAAAAAAAAAAGAGAAACAGCAGGAGATGCCATGTTCCAGGATACTGAGCCTAGTGGGGGGCAGCCCAGCTGCTAGCCATGTGCACCCCTTGGGGGTACCATGGAGGTGCTGAGAAGGGTTTGGCTGGGCACCAATGAGCCAAGTGTGAGCACAGGCAGGGCAAAAAACAAAAAAAATAACAACAAAAACCACAAGAGCTCTCCTTGTCCCGCGGATTGCTTCTCAAAGGTGCTTCTAATAGAGCAGGGCAGAGTCTCAGGGAGGAGAGAGTGGGGGGAACAGGGATAGGGCTTTAGCACCCATGTCAGTAACTGGGAGCAGTGCCAGACAAATAAGTGTATGCTAACAGTCTACAGAAAGGATGCTGACAACCTTCCCTCTCCGGTGTCTTAGCTGTCAACAAGAATAGGCGGCACCGGTGGCTCCCGCCTGTAATCCTAGCTACTCAGGAGGCTGAGATCTGAGGATTGTAGTTCAAAGCCAGTCCAGGTAGAAAAGTGGCAGTGAGACTTTTATCTCCAATTAGCCACTCAAAAACCAAAACTGGAACTCTGGCTCAAAGGGGTAGAGCACTAGCCTTGAGCAAAAGAGCACAAAGACAGTGCCCAGGCCCAGAGTTCAAGCCCTACAACCAACAAAATAAAAAAAATAGGCTTAATCATGGCCCTGTTGGGGTCCCATCAAACCACTTTTCCCGATATAAAAAGATTGAAAGTGCAGGGTGCTTGTGGTTCACACCTGTAATTCTAGCCACTTTGGAGGCTAAGGTCCTTAGATCTTAGATCACTGTTCAAAAGTCGACAGGAACAAAAGAAAAATAGAAAAGCCTATGACACTCTTATCTCCAATTAACCACCAAAAGCCAGAAGCAGAGCTGTGGCTCTTAAAGGTAGTGTGCCAGGCTTGAGTAGAAAAAAAGAAAGCTAAGGGACAGTGCCCAGGCCCTGAGTTCAAGCCTATAGGACCTGCACACACAGACTGAAAAGAGAGGTGTGCCTTGTGCCTTGTGCCTTGACCTCAGAGTTGCTGCGAAAAACCCACCAAGGTGACCCCAGGACACCTGCACATACACACCTGTGCAGATGGGCTGCGTTCTCCACCCCTACCCAAGCAGGGCACCCCTTCCAGTGTGGGGGACCTGATCGTTCCCAGTGCGCTCTCCTGGGCCGCCTGCAGCTTCCTCCCCCTACGCACTGCACCCCAGCCCGGCCCTCCACACCTCAGGAGCCCGGAGGGGTGGGGAAGACCGCCGGGGTCTGCCGCCCCCACCCGCTTTTTGCTCAGATAAACACCATCAGGAAGATCGGGGTGCGATGGGGAGACGGTCGGTTGGGTTTCCCCGCCGCGGCACCCCAGCCCAGCCCTGCTGGGTGGGAGGGGCGCGGGGGAGGGACCACCCTAGGCATCGCCACGGACCAGACAGGCAGACCCGGAGGAGGGGGCGCGGGCAGTACCAGGCCGCCGGCGGCACCGCAGGCGCTGAGCGAGACCAGGGAGTCGGGGTGCCCGATCACGTGTCCCGAGTAGAAGCAGAGCTCGGCGGGGCGCCGGGCGGCGCCGGTGTCCTCCACCTCGAAGCCTCGGGACAGGAAGCGCAGGTCGCGGCGCAGCTGCAGGTACAGGTCGCGCCCGAAGGCGGGCAGGTGCAGCAGGA